TGCCTGGCTACCCCTCTGGGGGGTGGGGCGGGGGCTTCCCATCCACCTCCTTGGTGGTGCAAACTCCAGTTTAAGAATTGAATTTGGATTTTGTTCTTTTTCCACAAAGATTTAAATACATCGTTTTAATTTATTGCCAGTATTTGAAAATCAAGAACTACTACATAGAACTTTGGACAAAGAAATCCTTCTTTTGAAAAATGGCTGGGACCTCTGTCCCACCGTGGAGGCCTTGCCTCAAGCTGGTACCAGCAACGCCCATTGGTTGACTGCGAGCCCCATCCATCTCCACTGTCTCCCTGATGTCAGCTCTCCCGACATGCACTGGGGTGACCTCCCTGGCCCCTGGACTTTTCGTGTTTGCAGGCCTTGATCTATCTCGGCAATGTATTTTATCAAAACGGTCTTTTCCTGGGTCGGTCTCCCATTTCAGAGAGAGAATGTCTTATTTACTCCTGGATTTCAAGCCCCAAGCACAGTACCTGGCCATAGTAGGAGGTGCACAGGAAATGTTTGCTGAACTTCCCAATGCACAGCATCACATGAGGATGGCAAGAAAGGAGAGCAAGCAGACTGAAGGGAAAGTGGGTGGTGAAGAAAGCCTCCAAGTCTGGCCCTGCATCAGTGATATGTGCCAGAGTGCGTCACAAACACCGCATTTCTTTATTTCCTCCCACAGACGAGCTGTTCCCTCTAATGCCTCACCTGGCGGTGAGAGAAAGTAAACAGAGCGTGATACAGGCTCCTGCAAGGGGTGTCAGTGCTTCACCTTCCTTGCTTTTGCCCAGAAAGTTAGAAGCAAGAATTTGGAGACCTGCAGACTAAGAGTGGTTGCATCAAAAGGTAGGACCCCTGGTCCAGGCCTCTGAAGGGGAGCAGGATGCAGAGCAGGGTGGCGAAGAGCAAAGGGACGGGCCAGGCTCTGAGAGAGGCAAGCCTCATGTGGGGTCCCTCAGAGACAGAGGACAACTTCGCCTGTGTGTGGGGAAGGCAGTCCTTGAAAGGAGAGACAGGGCTTGGTAAAGAGGAAGCTTTCAGGGACAGTGTAGTGTGTGTGATCTAATTCTGGCTACACACTGGCTAGACATGTGACTTTGAACAAGGAAACTGACCCTACTGGGCCTGTTTCCTCAGCTGTAAAATAGAGATAATGATGGTATCTGCTCCCAGGGATGATGTACCCACTGAATGAGATAACACGTGTAAAGTGCCTGGAATTTGCTTGCCTGATGCGTCATACACTACCTTCGCTTCCTACGGCTGCCAGAACAGAACACAAACCGGGCGGCGTAAAACAACAGGAAGCTATTCTCTCACAGCCCTGGAAGCCAGAAGCCACAGATCAAGGTGTCTGCAGGGCGACACCCTCAGGAGCGAATCTGTCCTTTGATTGGGAAGCGTCAGGTGGTTCCTGGACTTGGGGCAGCGGCACTCCAATCTCTGTCTCCATCTTTGCTGTGTCTATTACTTCTCTTCTGCCTCCGATAAGAATACCTGACGTTTAGGGCCCATCTCATAATCCAGGATGATCTCATCTCAAGATCCCTAAGTTAATTACCTTTACGTAGCCCTTTTGTCCAAGTAAGGTCACATGCACAAGTTCTAGGCTGTAGACATACCTTTTTGGGGTGCTACCAGTTCGACCCACTACAATACCTCATGTTTTTGAGTGCTTTCCATAAACTGGACCTACACATGCATTATTTAATCATTCAACTTAGCCAGATCCTGGAGAGTCTGGTGGTTCCTAGCTTGGGGCCTGGAGCTGTTTTCCCAGGTGGAAAGGCTGGGCACGACCCTGAGGCTCCATGATTACTGACCAAAGGAAGTGGGTGGCCGCACATAATTTGTAGATTTTTCTGGATTCCCTGTTTGCCCCTCTCCATGTGCAGTGTCCTTTCCTTTCTCTGCGAAGTGTCTGCAGTGGACGCTTACGTGCTGTCCCCATTCTCCTTCAGGGAAGGACTTGTCCCAGCTGCTGGGAGTGTTATCATCAGACAGCCCGTAGCTGTCAGCACCTCTGGGTCAGCCTCTGTGCAGAGAGCTACCTCGTTGGAGATGACCGGTCCTAATGTGGGCCACATCTACTAAAGGATTAAAGCAGCAGCATAGAGATCTGGCCATTTTGGCCTAAAATGGGACAATTTGGATGAGCCAATTTAGCCCCAGGGTTCCCTGTGGGGTCAGAAGAGGCTTTGAGGGGACTTCTGCCTTGGCCCGACCCTGCTTCCTCCCTGTCCCTTCCACAGGAGTGGATCCCTAGGGCACCCTCTGCTCAACGTCCTGCAGGATAAGCTCCAGATCCCAGTCTGCCTTCCAGAGAACCCAGCCCATGCCAGTGTCGAAGGGCCATCCGCTCTCGGGGCCCGCCGTGCAGCTGTAGGTGAAATGAACATTTCACTCCAACTAACTTTGGTTTTATGTGTAATGATTCTAGTCCCATAGGGGACAATAAAGGATATCGCCTTGAAGTTTTCAATCATATTTCGACATTTTTGGAGAGCTCTTAGGGCTTTGGAGATTTTCATTTTCCTAATGAATCTGAGGGAATGGGTCTAATGCAAATTAATCTAAGGCAATCCTAAAACCATGAAATACTCTGTAGGTAGCTGGAAAAAAGTAGCACCAGTTTGATAGTTGCTGAAAGTTTGTTTGCTTGAAAATATTAGCGGTTTTAACTGGATATATATGTGTCTTTGAATTTTTAAGTAATTTGATAAAATCCATCAAATATTGAGCACCAGCTGTGAGCAAGAAATCAGAAAAGAATGTACGACAAGGGAGATAGTGTACTGTTCTGGTTGAAAAAAGAGGCTTTTGGACAAAAGCAGACTGGGTCTGAGCCTCATCTCTACCACTCACTGTCACTAACTCTGAGCCTCAGCCCCCATCTATTGATGGGAGCAATAATGCCGTCTACTCCATAAAGACCTGGGAAAGTTCGGTGCAACTCTCTGTAGAAAACATGTGTAATAGTAAATATGGTAAGTGTTATTTATATTATTAGCTACTAATGTAGGCATAGTAAATAAATGCATACTCATGAGACAAATTTTAGATTGTTGGAGTTACTGCTTACGGAAAGCTCATGAAGAATTTCTGAGCTGATTTGAAGAGGATCCCAAGGTTTTGTTGGTTTGTTTTTGTTTTTTTCTTATTCAGAGAAGACTGTCGAGTTTTCTCACACTGAAGGTGACATCTGAGTAAAGACCCGAAGGCAGCCGAAGCGTGAGTCACCGGCTTTCCCGGGAAGAGCACTTCCAGCAGCGGCAACAGCCAGTGTGACATTCTGACGGGACAGCTAGACTGTGCTTAAGGGCTGGCCAGGAGGTGCACTAGCTAGGTGGGACTGAGCAGAGCAGATGAGCTCCGAGATGTAAGGGGGTGGGCACAGGTCTTGCAGGACCTGGTAGGTCATTGTGAAGAGTTGGGTTTTGCTAAATGATTTGGGAAGCTGGTAGGGGTCTTGAGCCATGAAGTGACACGGCCCGGTTTCTGTATGGAAAGGATCTCCTGATCACCGTGTTAGGGATGGAGTGGAGGGGGGCAAGGCAGAAGACGTGGGCGACCGCCTTTGGGAGGCTGCTGCAGTCTGCCCAGCTGGCGAGGGTAACTGCCAATCTGGGCAGTCATGGTGGGGCATGGAGCGTGGTCAGCACCTGCTGTCTTCTGAATCCTGAAAGGACAGGATGTGGTAATGTCTGGAGAAGGAGAGAAGAGTCAAAGCTAACTAAATTTTTTTTTGTCCTGAACAATTGAAGGAGAAAGTTTCCTTCATCTAAGAAGAGGAAGATGTAGAGGAAGGCGGGTTGGGGAAGGAATAGGAGGCATTGGTGTGGGGACCTGTTAATATGAAATGACTCTTAAGCATCCAAATGAAAGTTGTTAATATTGCAGAGAGAAAAGCCTGCCGTTAGTGAGCAGTCTGGGCTACCCATATAAATTCAGGAGTCGCTGGGCTGCTGTTGGTGTTTCAAACCGTAACACTGGGTGACATCACGGAGGAAGTGAGTAGAGAAAGAAACAGGAGAGAAAAGGACAGAGCTAGGCTGCACTGCTGTGTTTAGGGGTCAGAGAGATAAGGGACAGCCAAGGAGCCGAGAAGGAGCCGCCCATGAAGGACCAGGAACAGCAGGAGAGTCTGGAAGCCAGGTGACGGCCGGGAGCTGGGCTCCGGTGGTTGAACAGGAGTTTGTTGGGCCAGTGGGCCCCCAGGTGTGGTTGCAGACTAGCAGCATCAGTAGCAGCAGCCGGAAATGTGTTAGGAACGTGCAGAACCTCGGGCCCCACGTCAGTTTTATTGGATCAGAAACTCTAAGGATGGCACCCTCAAGTTTGAGACCACTCTTTTAGACATTAGGCATAAAATTGTCTGCACAAAACTATAATGAAGATTGAGAAGAGAAAAAAACCCCACATTTTTTTAAACTGGAAGAGAACAATTTTAAAGACTTGCTTGGTGCTCAAAGCAAATTTGTAGCACGTGGGTACCTCACAGTAAACCCTCCCTCCACTTCACGGCCCCGGTGCCCCACATCCCAATTTAGAAACCTCCTGAGTCTGCCATGGCTCTCTGGAGAGGAGGCATGCCCCCATCTCACCGGACAGAGGGGAGGCCGAGCACCAGGCATGCCAGGCATTCCACCGCGAAGAGAGGGGGGTGGTATTTCAAGGTTAGCATTACTGGGCCGCAAACGCTGAGCCTCGTGAGATAGGAAGCTTATTCCACCCTACAGTTTCCGAATTTTCCTCTAGATTTTCCTAGGAGAATTCCACCCTCTTCCATTCTGGGGAGAAGTTAAAATTAGGGCCGGCCCTGCAGGACTGGCATGCCAGATGCGGAGAGGCTGTCCCCAGAAATAAGCTGGTTCCCACCGCGCATGGGCCAGCCCCCTCCAAGTGTCTGCAAGGGGTCTGGTCCCAAGCTTTAAAATACTGAGCAGAGGCACTGCATCCCGACCTCTCCTTTCCCACCCACTCCAGGCTAGCCTTTCAAAAAAAAAAAAAGTGTGTAGTTGTCTCCTCCCCGCCCAGCCCCATCCTCGCCCAGGACCAGCTGTGCCGCTGGCTGGCCGCCTCAGGGACGCAGTCAGACCGCGGCTGCAGCCGAGTGAGAGGCGCTCTCCATTTAGGCACCTTCAGCTTTCCGCTCAGCTCAGGGAGCCGCTTTGCAAAGTTGAGCAGCTCCAAGTGCACGCTTTGCTCTCGGCTTCTCCCTCCCCCCTAGTCGCCCCCGCCTCCCACGCTCCTTTCCATTGGGAGCAGCTGGTCGCAGAGGGCTGGCGGCTTGCGCCCCTTTCCCGTACTCCGCCCTGACGAGCGACCATGTGGTTAGGGGTCATCCTCCTGGCAATGAAAGGTAAGGCCTGGACCCGGTGTGTGTTTGGGGGGTGGGTGTGGGGCGGGGGAAGCGCTCTCGTGACCCTCTTGCTCTCCTGCTACTCCCGTTGCCTGGCTCTGGTCTTGGGCTGAGCTGGCCGAGGCGCCTCGCGGTCCGTCTCCGCAGCCGCTGTTCTTGCTCCCCAAGCCAAGGGTGGTGATGGCAGTGCGGTCCGTGCCATGGAGGCGCCCTGGGGGTGGGGGTGCGGAGGGGCGGGTACTGTAGTGAGTCCCTCACCTGCCCCTTTCTGCACTCCTTCCCCTCACTTTCACCAGGTAGTTTCCCAGGGGCGCCCCGACTTGGTGCAAACGCTCCCGGGCCGAGCCCGAACTGAAACTCACTTTGTGCCCGCAGCCCTGCAGCTTGCCGGTGCCTTGGACCTGCCCGCGGGATCCTGCGCCTTTGAAGAAAACACCTGTGGCTTCGACTCTGTGTTTGCGTTCCAGCCGTGGATTTTAAATGAGGAAGGTAAGGAGACTCAGCGTCCTGGAACCCAGGTGAACTTGCTTCCTGCTGGTTGGGTCTTTCACGGGGGTAATGCTATCTTGGCGTTAAATCCCCTTGGGAGGAGATATGTGCGTCACGGGTCCTTCTTCCAAACCTCAGCTGTGCTGTAACGATGGTCGAGGAAGAGATGGGGGTGGGGCCGGGCGTCCTTTGTTTACCTGGCCTGTGGGTAGAAGCCCTAAGACTTTGCCCCTCCCCTCAGCACTCCATGATGGAAGGGAGAAGGGGCACAGCTAATGACTGTCGCCCATGGTCTGCTTGCCCCTGGTAGGTCAGCATGCTCTGTGGTGGTCAGTAGACCTCCTGCAGGAGTGGTTCCACTGGCGGGCCCTCAGTGCTTGTGGCGTGGCTGCGTCCTCACACTCCTGCTGTGTGTGTAAGCCAGCACTTGGCAAAGAGGAAACCAAGTCATGACTTTGGCCTGAGGTCATGCAGCTGGCAGGTGGTGGCTGTGGTCTCACCGCTACATTCCATTTGGCTTCTGGTGACAAAGTGTAAATTCGGGGTCTTCAGATGTATCCTCTTACCCTTCGTTGAGTCAAAATAAATATTTCTCCAGTGCCCAGCAACAGGCACTGGGTGTCCCCTGTCCCCCTGCACTGCCCCCCGGCTCGCTTTAGGAGTTTGAAGCCCCAGGCCCTTTGCATTGGGAAGGAGCCACCTTTAAAAAACACTGCAGCATGAAGGAGAATCACGAACCTCCTTCCCTTTTCAATTGTCCTCCGAGCTGGCCCCCTGGAGGAGGGTGGGCCCAGCGCCCTGGGTGGGATGTAGAACTGTCATCGCACTTTCCTCTGCACTGGGTTTCTGTTTAGGGCTTTGCATACGTTAGCTTCTCTGACCCTCACAGGTGGGTGATGTCGTGCCCCCTTATCACAGGAGGGAATCTCAGTCTTAGAGTATTCTGATGGGTGGTCCACATCACGTGGTGTCTTTGAGTGGCCAGCTCTGAGCTGTGGGTTAGGGGTAAAACAGGAGGGAATGCACTCACTAGGTATCTGGGACTGGAGTCAAAGAGCCACTTGCACGGCCCTTAATCTTGTGCCCCAGGGCCTCTCTTGCCTCAGCCTGGTCCTGGCCCCGAGGCAGGGAAATCAACATCACCCTGAATCCAGGGGGCTCCTTCCCTGAGCCTCCATCCCCAGCCCGGTCGGGATGGTGGCCCCTTCGACAGCCTGCAGCCCTCTGGGTCAGTGGGCAGCCTCAGCCTGCCGGACTGCCGCCTCCCGACCCACAGGAAGTGCTCTCCGCTGAGCTGGCACCTCTGCCCAGCGGCCGTTAAACAGGCCCCCTTCAGGGAAAACAGGAAGATGCTTATAGGAAAAGGTATTATGGTTTAATAGTATAATGAAGGCACTGTTGCTTTCTTTTTTCCTTTCTCTCTAACTTCTAACCGTCGCTGCTTTCTGGCTCAGGACTAGGACTGCTGGCTTGGCTGGGGGAAGTAATTCGTTCTTCTGTGGGCACTCCAGGTGGAGCAGGCAGGTTAGGCTTCAGTCCTTGCAGATTGTGTTTTTCAAAGATTAGAACTTGGACATAACCGTCCACTCCAGAGGGACAGTGAGTTGGTTGTGTGCCAGCTGGTGCAGTTACCTGCTGAGAAGCCAATGCTAAGAATTACTGTTCTAAAAACCCATTTCTAGGTTGGCAAATTAAAGATAATAAAATAGTCCCGGGCTGATATCCCATAAGCTGCTCACAAGCTTTTCTGCAAACATCCTTCATCTCGCTGCAGAAACCCTTTGAAGCAGATTTCACCTCCCTCTGTGCGTTGTAGCCACTACAGAGAGTTGTAGGTTTCAGAGACATTTGCCCACAGTATTTGAAACACAAATGGTGCTTTCTCTGTGTCCTTGGTCAGTCATTCACGTGGAGAGAACGATGCTAATGCCCAGTGAAGGGAGTAATTAAACTTTCATCACAGGAGATTAAAACTGGGGGTAAGTGTCTTAAAATATCTCCCCAGCTGCTCGAAATTATATTTGAGGTCCAGCTCTTTAGTTTATTTCAAGTATTAGTTGTCTAAGCATCTCCGATTACAATTCCAATGTCTCTAGTTCATGGCCACTTTGAAATATGCTTGATCTCCCCTGGTCACAGAATGGGTGGATTTGGACGGGGCGGGGTGTTGCCTTGGGTTGTGCACCACCCTGGGAGGCAGTCCAGGGACAGCAGGTGACACCAGTGCAGGCCACCTGCCCCTGTCATCTGGCCTCCTCCGCTTTCTAGCTTTATCAATGATTGTCTTGTTTTTTCATTTTCCTCCGTCTTTTTTGGAGAATTCCTTTTACCTTCCCTAACTTGTCAAGCCAAGTAAGATTATGTCAGGCTCAAATTTGAACTCACTTCTACATTTTAGTTTTGAATGAAATCCAGGATCTATGTTTCCCTATAAAAACCTCCTGTATTCATTCAGAGCCGAGAGCACATTCGAGCCCATTGGAACATCCCCTTTGAACAGCTGTCTGCCCCCAAAACCGAGACCATTGGTTGCACGTCCCTAATGCCAGCTGCAGGGGCAGAAGCCTTTAGGCTGAGGATTCGTGGAGAACAGAGTGTTGGTCTTGCATCCAAAGAGTCATTTCAAATTAGCTATCAGGTGGATTTTGGCCTCACTCTAATTTTTGGATATTTTGGTTTAGCATCTTTAACCTACGTCCTTCGGCAGAACTGAGGAGGCGGGAGGGGTGGAGTCCAGATCCAGGTAGGCACCTGTGCTGTTCCTTAATTGGGAGTCTGGAGCACTAAGCCACAGAGCAGGGAAGGTAGATACTGAAGTGTTTTCGGTTAAGAGAAGGTAAAAGATTAAATTCACAGCACTTTTTGTAGGAAGGGCATTTTTTTCCTACAGCAGGGGGGGTCAGGGTTTGAGAAGTGCCTGATACAGGAAGAGTTTGGATGGCGAGTGCTGGTGTCTGAGGCAGGACCCGTCCAGGGGCTTGGCACAGCCAGGGGGTGAGGGTGGGGCCATGGACGAACGTGCCAAAATAACGTTGTAAGTACGGGCGTGTGTCTCCTCTGACACCCCTTCTCTTCACCCAGACCCCTTCCTTTTCTCTTAAAGACACTTCCAGTCACTTGGCCATCTGAGTTTCAGTTCTGCACTCAGTCATGTGCCAGTTATTATAAATAGTGGTAGATACTGCCTGATATTTCCTGAGGACCAGTTAGAGCCCAAAGTCTGGCAAGGATCCCAGGGGGCAATTCCTGGGACTGAAGGAGCCTTCCTCCCTGCGGATCACAGCTCCCTTCCTGACACTGGGGGGCCCACTCAGCGTCTCATCTCAAAATCAGGAGTTCACGGGCATTGCCGCCCCCGGGCCTGCTTCACTTGCATCTCCTCTGCTTGTTGGTCTCCTGGTGCCTTCTCAGCAGAAACACAAACCCCATGTTGTATAGAGGCTGGAGGGCAGCACAAGTTCAGGCTGCTCCTTGGATGTCTCTCGGAGAGACAGCCAACGCCAGAAATCGCTATGTTTTTCCTGCAGTCGTACCACGGGGCTTTCCCTGGTCACCTGGCTATTGCTGCTGTCAGGTTGAGTGTGGCTGTCATGCCCCACGCCCGAGCCCGGCATTGGCTCTGCTCTGCCTGGACTCCTTGGCCCTAGAGGTGGACCTTAGAGGTCATCCAGTACCACGTCTTTATTTTGCAGAGCAGCACACTGGGACCAGACAGGCTTCCAGGCACAGTCACTGACCCAGGCAGTGGCAGCCTCTTGTTTCCTCTGCTCTTCCCCAGCTCTTCCCTCCAGCATTGCTGCCTCATCCCAGTCTCCACTGGGTCCTGGACCCTGGAGCTTTGCTGTGTTAATTACGACATTTTGGAAACTCTTTGTTAGAGATGTAATTATAGTTCATTCATGTGAAAAAACATGGTTTCCAAAGTGCATGGGCCTTCCAAAGCCATATAACACTACATTCTTGGTCATGCAGTGCATTTGTTTACTCTTTCAGATGTGTGGGGTTCCACCTGTCTACAGTCTTCAGTATACAGGAAAGGGTCTGGCATATAGTAGATGCTCAATTAGTATTTGTTGAATGAATGAATTTGCTGAATAAATGAAGTATTGGATGATTAAAAACTCCTTATGCATTTTCATTTGTGCTTCTGGTTCATTCTGCAGCATCAAAGGTAATTCCTCATCATGAGAAACCACTTCGCCTAGTAGTTAGTACAAACTCTAAGCTAGACAGCTTGGATTAGAATCCAGACTCTGCGCTTTTATGCTGTGTGGCTTTGGGCGAGTTACATGTCCTCTCTGTGTCTCAGTTTCCTAGCTGTAAAATGGAGGTAACATAAGTACCTATCTTGTATGATTGTTGTGAAGATTGAATATATTAATACATGTAACCTGTTATTATTCTTACTCTCAATATTACTAAGTTTGTATTTTATCAATTATGAGTTTTAATTCAAACAGCTTTCCAACACAGCTTCGGGGGAGCTAACGAGAGTCTCATTTTCTTTTGATTATAGTTTTGTCATTTGCTCCTCATTCCAACCAGAAGAACTTTCTTTTTCTTATCATTTGCCTGTATTTTGAGTCCCCATGTTCCTTTCAGGCCATTTAACTTTAGTGTGGTTGACTGAGGTATGGAGGTCAAGGAAAAAGACCAACTTCACATTTGGCTTATACCATCCCCCAAACTTATACTTTCCCCCTGTACATCCTCGGTTTGGGTCAGGAGCGCCGTGTGCCTGGCCCTATCACTCTCCTGCCCTAGCCTGCTCTTTCCTATGGATCCATCCACAGTCAGGCTCCAAGTGTCCCTAACCCTTGGCCTCCCTATCAGTCAGTGAAGGGTCTTGAATTCTCTTGCCTGAGCCTTCCACTTGGGATTTCACCCACCCGGACTGGTCATGGCCTGCTCCTCCCTGCCCTGACTGACTTCTCTGGACGTATGCTTTGGCCAGATCCCTTTCTGCCAAGGCCAACATCCAGTCTGGGGTTCTCCCTACT